AAGGAAAAAGAAAATCCTTTGACAAACAAAGGTACTGAACTATTTCGTCTTTGTGTGTATATTACGTGGATACCTTTAATATGAACCGATTTTGGAATATTTCTTTGTAACGAATAGGCCTCATAGCTGGCTTCAAGTAAATTTCAAGGATAAATTCTTGTAAATTATTTTCTTTAAAATGATTTTTAAGTGGATATACTTACTTTTTGTTAAAAAGTAAATGGGATGAGATAAGTATATTGCTATTGTTCAACTTATTTTGTAAACATGAAAACTGCTAAACGCGTATTGAACGACGTCGGAACAGCGAATCAAATTTACTTATGTAAATTGTATATCACCCTTAGGAATACGAATTTTACTTAGTCTTTAAACAGAACTGTAGAAGAAGATTACTAAAATATAATGAAAATTATAAGAACTACCTGTTGTAGTTTGATTATTTTATTTTCAGAATGATATAAGAATATACTAGCGTTGAGTAGCGTTTCTTAAAAAAGGAACTGGGGTAAACTGAAACAAATAATTACCTTAGTTGAGGGTTGACTCGATTCAATTCAATTTCAGCGGTAAGTTAAAGGCAACAGACAGAAATACTCACGTATTTTCTGCCCACATCAATAAATCGTTCTGCCTACAGCTAGTAACTTATGGGCATAGCTCCAGAAATAGCTTTGCACAAAAGAGTCCAGATTATAATCGGAAACTTCAATATCTTAATTAATTTTACTTCTATACTTCTATACATATAATAAAATTGTAACTAAGCCGAATCTGTACATTAAATATTTTTTGGCAAATCTTATTGAAATAAACATTATTAATATCGATACGAGATATAGCTTTTACTATGTCGCTATCGTAGTTCCTGAGATTAGAGCATTCATACAAACAAAAATCAACCAAAAAAATAAACAAACAAATTCTGCGTTTTTTATAGTATAAGTGTGCAAATTAAATCTCGCAGACAGACAGGCAAAAATTTTAGACATATGTATTTACACCGTTTACCGCTTACGATGAATATTGGCATTTATGATTTATTCTTAGGCGTAAAATTGCTTTTAGCAGACATTTTCTCATCTCTTGTTAGTTACTTTAATTTTTATTTGAATTTTTGGATTGCACAATTTTCCGTTTGTTTTTTACAAATTCTAGCTTAAATCAATAAAAACGTTTATATATCATCTAAGTATTCAGCAATAGTGTAGTATTCAGTATTCAGCCCTTTTTAACATCCCACTGCTGGTCACAATTTTTTGTATTTTGAATTTAGTGTATTCAGTAAGCATAAAATTATAATAGTACATAAAATGTCTTAAGTAGGTTTTGTTTTTTATACCGGGTTTGATTCTAGGACGGCAACGATGATAAAAATCGTCTATTTTTTTTTCAGTTACCTTTTTTAACAATATATAAAATCTTGTTTGTTTTTGTTATTACTTTAATTAAACTAAGGTCGTACCTTTTTACTACATACTATCAAATTGTAGGTACTTCTTGATAAAATTCCAAAGCCACACTATAGAAGAAAAATAAAAATTTTACTCTCTACCCTCATTAAAAGTGGTTTACGAATCTTACAACACGCATGAGAATTCAAGCGGTCCCAAATTAACTTTTTAGTATTAGCCGCGATTTCCCAAAATGGCGTTTTCGGGCGAATCCAATTAAAGAATCCACTTAGGCATTACAATGTTACAGCTAGATTTAAGCGCAGATTGCTTAATTAAACAAAGAAATCCAACTTTGTATATAAACCTATACTATGATGATACAATTTATTTCATTTTAGTAGATTTATTTTAGTAGACGTAGTTTATTTTAATAGTCATGTCAACAATTTTTTACGTACAATAATTTATACGTAGAAATATACATATGTACGCAAAATATTATATGGCCCACAGGCCACAAGACAACAATTCAAAAATCGTATGATTTTTTTACCGTTTGTGTGTAAAAACTACCATAGCACTTGATGATAATTACTATATTATATTGATTAGTAATTTAAAACGACGGGAAGAGCAGATTAAAATAAAATAAAGCAAGTTGATTTTAACATTAAAAATGTTTTTTTATCGCTTCATGTATTATTTCAGACTATAATCTATCTCTGTGCCTTTCATCCAGATCCATTCAACCGTTCTGGCGTGAAAGAGTAACAAATATCCATACTTACAAACTTTCACATTTATAATATTAATACGGATATGTTTAAGCTGAGAAACGACTGAACTCATTACAAAAATTTCTTTTGCATAAAGCCAAAGAGTTTTTTTTGTACTTTTAGCGCGAGTGAAGCCGCGGTTTCTGCTAGATTATAATATTTTTAACAATGAGAACTTATGACTGGCTTTGCCATGGCCGAACAAAGTAGTAATATGAATAAACAACCAAATTATTTAATTATAGGTCTTCTCCTACACGTTCATATATAAAACTATTACGTTAATGGTTGTACCAATTTATAGACAGACATAAAGCACAATTAATAGTACTATTAGGAACATTTAATATAATCTATACCTAAAGTATTACTAAATACCAAAGGTTAGATTTCAAGCTTCAACAGCTAACTCCTCGTTAATTGCTAAACTTTTAATTAATGACATCGCTTAAGCAATAAAAGTACAAAGAAAGTGTCATTGTTTTATTCGATGTAGTTGTTGGAGAAAGTGATTTATTGGGGTATTATGATAGTTCGGAATCTGTTAACAATTAAGAGGGGAGTAGATTTTCTCGTCCTTTGATATAGTGATAATAATAAAATTAATTATAATATTTTCATATAAGTCTTTCGTTCTTCTTATGCATTGTGGTGAAGATTGTGAATTTAATTCCCATAAAATTATTTACGACTAGCATTGCCTGCGGCTCCGCCCGCGTTCAGATGACCAAAAACCAAATTCTTAGGTTTTATATATTAGTCTACTTTAACATTGCACTTTTTGTATTTTTTCTCAAAAATGAGATATTTTCCCGCGGTGAAGAGTATTCTATATGTTGACCCGGATAACCAGCTATCACCATACCAACTTTCATCAAAATCCCTCCAGTGATAATACTTTCATAGATTTACGCGAATATTTGACATTTTAAATAAAACTATCTTCTATTCTTATCTAAAAATGTTTAAAGTTAAAGAATATTGTAAGGTAATTTTTGCAATTTTCATTTGGTTAATTGTGGGTAGGCTGTCTGTAACAACTATGCCTTCAAGACATGTATCACCTCAGTCTCTCCCGTGACCATGGATGCTGTAAAGCATTCGAAACGTCGAGAACCAAAAAGCAAAATAAATCCGCGAAATAATCCGAAAAGATAGTTTTATTTAAAATCCCTCCAGTGGTTTTTCTGTGATGCAGATTCAGAGTTCGTCCCTAACTGACTTCCCAATACATTCTTCTGCACCGAGTGTGGTTCGAATGAAGAGTGGTTTGGTTATTATCATTTAATCGTATTATTAATGTGTTTTCGTTATCTGGTTTGTTAAAGTTACAAAACTTTCAATTTAATTATTTGATTATTCTTACGTACGCGCTCGGTCTTAGTGACTATATATAATATGTTAAATATAATATGTTAAATAAACTTGTGTCTTAAATTTATATAATTCAAAAACTCTACTTGCGCTCATTTCGAGATTTACCTATAAGGGTTATTATGTTGATAATATTACAGAAATGTGGCATAACATATGCGGTCTTATGATAAACATTCATTGTAGTGATTCGAAAAGAAATAAACGTGTTCCGAATAGCCAAAGCAATTAGAGGAGATCAGCGATAAATATTAGTAATCTACAATAATTTGTGAAGGTGTATATTGTATATGAAAAAACTAAAATATTCTTCGCTGTGATGTTAAACAAGAAGCATTACAATGTATTTGCGTTCATTTTTTAAGAAAATTCTTTCATTTAACATATACTTCATATTGATGATAGTATGTTTAATATTGTTACTTATTTATAAACCGGAAACTAATATAAGAGCTATAAGCACAAGTGTTACAAACGATCGTACTGTGGATGTTGCTAATAAAAATAGTGTGGAGAGTTATCACAACGGAATTATTACATCTTATTATGAAAAAAGGAAGGTCAGTACTTACTCCATTGTTTATTTAAATTTAATCATACAAAAAAAAAGATGTTCGGGTAAATAAAATATAAATATAACTGTAATTTTGTATCACTCGTCCAACTCTACAATTCGAATATCTAATGAGTGTTTAAAATATATTTTGTTTGCTAAAATACATTCTAAATATTCTAAGTAACATTATTTCATAAGTCCAACGCTGTATATTTTACACTACGGTCCGTTACATGTAAAAGTCGATTTGTTACAAAAAAATGACGTGTTGAAAAATTAAAAAATCCCGCGATACCAGGGCGATGTCGCACTTTCGCTGAAATTGTATTGTGTGTATTTTTTTAAATGTAGATTACAGTCTCTAGAGGATTTTTTATTTTTTCGAAAACTCAGTTCGTCTTCGAGAAAAAGAAAAAAGTTTGAGTTTTTTTCAAAAATTGTTTTTGCATTTTGCCTTTGTCGAGACGCGTTTTGTCATCCCAATCACCCACGTAGTCCCAAAACCCGCGATACAAGTACCAGGGCTCGCACTTTCGCTGAAATTGTATACCGAAGTGACAAAAAAAACATTTTCAATTTTAAAATTATCTGTCACCTGGGTAGGCCTATTCATCCAATGATGGCAAATTAGTAGGCTACTGTTAAATCTACTTGTAATGAGCACACTTCTTTAACATCCTGTGCGAACTCTTCATATCCCATGGACGCTAAGTATCACAAATATCAAAAATTGTGTTAAATTTAATTTCACGCTGTCATTTCTGCAGACAGTACATTTAGTTTTTTTTATTCTTTAAAGGAAGTCTGTGAATCATAATATTGAATTAACTTGCTTTCCAGCATTGGCTTACAACGACCTTGGGATCGCTTTTATTTAAAAACATACCACGTGATACCATGAAAGCAATCAACAATCGTATTGATACCGATGAGAATAAGAAATTCGTAATTCTTATATGGAAATACTGGAAATGGCTGAAAAATCGACACGTTCATAACTTTAATAACAAACGGTAAGTAGCTAAATGATTGAACATACGTGATAGTTGTTCAATAATGTACTTTTATATTTATTTCATATAGAATGATTTATGAGCATACATATCATGGAACATACATTATATGAAAAGATACTCGTTAAAATTGTTTTTTTTTTATTTAAAAAGCATGATGCAATAAAAAGATTGTTTAAAAAAATATTTTGGAAATAATATTTCGTGCGTAGGTATATTAATAATTCAAGGGCAAAAATTCTAATTTTTTTACTACAGAATAAAAAAATATATCAATCAAATTCAGTCTGTGCAGATATAAAATATGCTATGTTGTACTTGTAATAAAACCTAAAATGTTGGTATCTACGTTTCTGGTGAGCAGTTATCTACCATTTTTGTGTTGTAGTCGATAATATAATAGAATTATTAAACATCGTTGCTTTGGCACTTTACATTTTTATTAACATTTAATTATTTTTTATTTAATTCGAATCACGATTCGAATAGTGATTTCTCAATATTTACATTAACTTAATAATTTTAAAAGTTCTATTTGGTTTTAGTTCTATGCAAATAAATAATACTAAATATGTAGGGACATTAACACACAGCATTATCTAGTTCCATGGTAAGCTACGAGGCTTGTGTTATGGATACCAGATAGTTGATACACTACACATATATAACTTTAAATACATACATATTATAAATATAAACACCCATGACTGGAGTACATACTTTCGTGCTCATCGCACAAATGTATGCCCCCAGCGGGCCTCGAACCCGCGACCGCTGGCACAGTAAGTAAGGTCACTAAAACTAAGCCAAACGTGTCGTCTAAATGTAGATAGATATATTTTTTTTTCTTATTAAGCTTTAATAATATTTTCAATACAAATAATAAACCTTTAAGTAAAAACTTATAATTTCCGCAAAACACTTTTGAATTATTCTTATCTTACGTCGTAACAATTCTTCTTAAAGAGTGGTAATTTGTAAGAAATATTAAAGAAATAAAAAAAAATTATACATTCTATTGATGCATTAAAAGAAAATAGATGTTTTTATATTAATAAATAAATTTGTTATGGGTTCGTCATTGTTGATTTAATTTATTCTTTTAGAAAAAATAATCCACTCAGCGGGTGCAGTGTCAACAACTGCGTATTCACAGGAGACGATAGCAAGCTATCCACTGCTGATGCTGTAATCATCCATGTCCAACATGGTATATTTCCAAACACTACAGAACGAAGCCAGAGACAAAGATGGGTATTTTTGAATGATGAATCTCCTTTAAATGCATTTTCCATGTCACGGCTTCAACCTAAAATATCAGATTTAGCTAATATGTTTAATTGGTCCATGACATATAGGTAAGTAAATAATAAGAACATGGCTTTTTGATTATTAATTATATTGATTTGAATGTGATTCTCGTAATTTTGAATCTAACTTCACGCTACGACCCTCATAAGTAGAAACTAATGCGGAGCCGCGAGAAAGCGCTACTTATAAATAAATTTTAATGTTCTGTATATTATTTCAAAATAAATGACCCATATTAAGGTCACAATATTATCTTATGTTTATTTGCATGATAAGCCAAAAGAGCCATGATTTTATTCTGTGTGTTTTCTGCAACTGTTTATCTCCGGAACGGCTTAGCTGGTTTTGCATGACCATTGGCTAATTGAGAATTAAAGTAAAAGACATAGGCTACTTTCTATCTAAGGAAAGAAAAGAGGTTATATATAAGTAATTTAGTTATGATTTATAGATTATTTTTATCATCGTAACACGGCGGAGTTGTGGGCGACAGCTGGTACATATATCTACTAATTTCAACGAAGAACATAAAACTACCCGCTAAAAGGTTTTAAAAGTTAATCGCTGTGAATAAATGTTTTAAATTATCTCGTTTAAAATGTGTTTCCGGTGTAACTGATAAACCAGAGTGATAAACGAACGAAAAACACGCCTGAAAAAGTCTTTAAAGATAAGGTAGTATTTATATCACCTTGTACAGACTTTCGGCGCCGCGCTGCATATCGCCGCGTCAGATCTTGCAATACTAGCTTGTTTACAGAGATAGCTTTAGATACTAATCAAGTCCGTACATTTAGTCCCTTTTGTAAGGAAAGTTGATTTAATTTTACTTTCATACACTCATGGAAGTATTTTCTATGGAACGAAATGCGTTTGTCGCTTAAAAATATATTTTTATACTCGTAGTAATTAATTGGTTTAGTTCTGATTTTAAATTATCATAATATTGATAAGATGTTTCCAGCAGTTGAACGCTTAATTGCCAGTGACATTATTATAAATTAATTAAAATATTGACTCATTTTAAATAACAATCAAGATAATTCCTGATTGTCTGATAGTAAAGATTTAGTTTAAGATTTCTTTGATATGTTTATTTACATAATATGTTCGAATTAATTGTTAATTATTTTTCTTAGACTTTAAAAATTTTGTAAATAAGGAATTTGAGTAGATATAGTTTAGTACTAAATTTTACATTTTCTTCAGTTTTTTCCATGTCTTATTAATAAGCCAATAACTTTTGTGTGAATAAATATAACATAAGAAAAAAGCAATACCCGTAGCCTTGCGAACTGATTTATGGATATTTCAGAAGCGATTCCGACGTGCCTGTTCCCTATGGCCGAACCGTACCCTTGCAAAAACCGATCGTGGAAGCAATGACATATGAAAATATGATTTCGCTAGTTCCAAATTGGAAAAACAAACGACGAGATATTTTAGTAACTATTCTTATATCAGATTGTGGAGTACCTCGCAGAATGAATTACCTAGAGCAGCTTCAGAAACATATCACTGTAGATGTTTTTGGAAAGTGTTCAAAAAACCACAAAGAAAGGTTATAAAATGATTTAATATATTTTTACTTGTGATTGAATAATAATTTGCTAAGTATATACATATATATATATATACTAGCGGACCCGACAGACGTTGTCCTGTCTACACGTCTTTAATTTGAAAATTTCAAACTTTTTTTAATAAGCTAAAACATTCTGGACCATTTTGATGAAAATTATTATTCAAATTGTGAATCTAAACCATTCCCAGATCCCCTTGAACACACACAAAAAATTTCATCAAAATCGGTCCAGTCGTTTGAGAGAAGTTCAGTGACATACACACTCACAGAAGAATTATATATATAAAGATATATATATATACATATATACATATATATATATACGTATAACGTATGAAAATCTATAAAATCCGTATATCTACGTCCACGTTAAAAATTCATTAAATCGGAAGATTTTAATTCAGATCCCCGTTATACTTGCTTATTTATGTCATGTTAAGAGACTGTGAACCGAATTGAAACATATAATACGATCGAAAATCGTAGATGATAAGCTAAGTATAAGCACGGTAATGTTTATGTATAATATTACCCTTTTTTTTTTTTTTTTATAGTTGGGAAATCCTATTACGGATACCACCCGACTTCCCCCCCAGGGTGGTTATGTGGAGACTCTCCGGCTAATGAGACCGGCATACCCACTAAAACCCAACTTTCCCCACAGCCGCCATGTGGGACGCCACGGGACCGCTTTCGCATACAACCGTGACGCCCCGACGGTTGGCCGAAGCCACCAACCATGAGGCCGCCCCAAGCGGGACGACCCCATTATGGGAAGACTTGCAACCCTGAGACGTGAGACTGCTCCCAAGTCCACTCTGCTGAACAGAGAAGTACCCGGAGCAGCCCCACACAACCAAACACCGCCCACCGAAGTGGGCAACCTGCAAAAACAAGCGGCCTAAGCCTAAACCTTCCTGCCCAAATTGGGCAAACCTCCACGGCGTCCGAAACCGAACCACCCCAAATGTATAATATTACCCTAAAATAAGCTAGTATATAAGTAATTTTTTTTTTTTAATATGATTCTTCTTTTAGCTGTCCTGGCCATTTTAGATCGGACTGTAACATCATGTCCGGCTATTTATTTTACTTAGTCTTTGAGAACTCAGAATGTGAAGAATATTTGACCGAGAAATGTTTCTACAATGCGTACAGTAAAGGTGCTATACCAGTGATATTGGGCCCAACTGTGGAGAACTGCAAATTACTGTTACCGCCAAATTCTTTTCTTCACACAGACAATTTTGAAAGTCCTGAAGAGTTAGCGAAGAATATAATAGAAATAAGTAAAGATGATAATAAGCTTTTATCATATCATCGTTGGAGAAACGACTTTGAAGTCGTCAACGAACATGGCTATTTCGGATCCAAATCCTATCATCTATGTAGAATATGCGAAGCATTGAATTACAACGATCGAAGTAACAAAGTTTATACAGCGGAAAATTTAAGGAAATATTTTGATCCTAAATTTTCTTGTAGATAGTTTTACTTTTAGATGATTCCTATTTTATTTTATTTATTTATTTATTAGGTTTATATACAATTACAATAATACATACAAATATAAAAAAATAGAACTAGAAACTACATGTAGGGATTACATACAAATATACACAGCATGCACAGAAATAAAGTTTTTAAAATATTATATAAAAAATATTTTATTATTATCAATCTGTTTTGTCAAAGTCAGTTCGAGAACAAAAGTCCAATTCTGATGAACATTTTGAAAAACATTGTATTATTCCGTGAAATTGTATTGAACATTTATTGTCAGCGCACGCGCCTGTGTATTTATTTAAATTATTTATATATTATTAGACACAATGTGTTGTGTGATTTTCTGATTTATTAATATTTTTTAGTTAAGGTTTATACAGTATCATGCGCTTTAAGCCTTTACAAGTTAAGTTGACATACTATGTTTTAATAAATGCTATAACATTACTAAGTTTATTTATAAGTGTAAATTTTATTAGACGCTTATTTAATTTAAGGTAAATTTTAAATAAAACTATCTTTTTGTATTTTTTCGATCGATATCTTTTCGGTTTAACATGTCTCAAAGTCACCTCAGTCTCTCCCGTGACCATGATTGCTGTAAAGCATTCGAAACGTCGGCAACCAAAAATCAAAATATATCTGCACAAAAAATCTAAAAAATAGTTTTACTTAAAATGCCAAATATTCGCCTAAATACAATACAACCGTCGCAATACAACACCTGCTATCTACAAACATAGCCAGGACCGCCCAAACCATTATATTCGCTTCGATAGACCTCAAATCCTGGAGAAAGAAAACCGATATCGCCCTAGAATGATTCGAGAAGCCATACAAATTAAGAAACATCCAAATTTCAATAGGGAAGATAGCTGGGTACTACCATCGTCATGGGATCCTGTTATTAATATAATAAAATTAAATAATAAATCTAAACATAACAGACAGGTAGATGTAGTAAGTTCTTACTGTGTAGATCAAAATGACAGCATATCAGATTAATATTTTTCTTTTTCATTTAGCATCTAGCATCAGCATCTAGTATAGCATTAATTACACACCATGAAAAATGTTCCAAACAGGTTGGGAGGCATTTCTAAGAAAATGTTGCAAATGGTTACCAAATTTGAAGCGCTAAGAATTGACTTTATTTTGGATGATAGATTTTATTTTGATTAATTTAGTTACTAAGTATACAGGGTCATTTTTAATTTACTGAAAACTGAAATGATAAAAAACTGAATGAATGTCTGAAATTTTTATTTTCATACAAAAATAAAAATATTTTTATTGTACCTTCTGAACGGTAAAGTTCTAGCATCTGGCCAAGTTTAAACGAGTAAGCGCCACTTCCTACACCCCTCCACCTCTTCCCCTCCACCGGTCACGCGCTTTCTTTTGCTAATGCTGGATGGACTATTACCGTTTAAAAGGTGCAATAAAAATATTTTTATTTTTGTAAAATTTAAGAAATAATTTTTTTCTCACAGACGTTGTTGTTATGATGTAAATAGTATATACCCAAAAGGTTTTCAGTAAATTAAAAATAACTCTGTATAATACAAATAATCTTATTAATTTATAACTCTTCTTAATACTCCGGAACATGTTATGTGGCTGTGTAATCAAAGATCCTGTACGAGTCATGACTTAGGAATAGTAAAGACCACAGACATATTAATGTGAATTGCAACTTGATCTTCTGAAGCCACTAAGTTACTAAGTTCGCTTAAACTTAGATTAAATTATATGTGGAGTAATATTCCGTATTGTTAATATTCTATTTACTTCTAGCTAACGGCCTTTATGTATCGACATGATATTAATAGTCCGTAAAAAATAATCTTTGCCAATAACACAAAGAATATGCTTTAATTAAAAAAAAACTATTATATTTATTTTTAAACCGATCCTGCGACGTCCCATTAAGACGGGGCAAGGTTTTGTTGGGTTTTGGTAAGTCCCACATAACCACCTGTATGTCTACAGGTGGTATGCGCAAATGCATTTCCCAACATAAAAAAAAGGTGTTAGGACGTGTGCTATTTATTACATTATACAAATGATGTACAATCAATTATTGCTATTCTACTGCATTAAGTAAACTAAAAAAGTTGGGAATAATTTTGTTGGCCCTGAAAATTTGATTATTTTGGGATCTATCTATCTTTAACAATTTTAGCATTATTCTTGTTAAATTTTATTAAATTTACAATAATAATAATTTAATTGTAAGTATAGAAGATATAATGGGCTTTACAAAAACTGTATGAAATATATCACATATTCATAAAACGATGGTAAAATCGGCTAAAAATATTTCATTCGGCTCGAATTTATTAGTGAACTAAAAGTTTTAACGAATGTAGATATTTTATCACAGAAGTTTATTACCATTCAGTGGTTTCGGTAATTAGTAGAGACTGATCAGTGGTTACAAAATTATGCTCAGTACTGTAATTAGTAACTAGGTTTGTATGTTAATTTATATTGGAAGTAATAATAAAATGTGTTATTTTTTAGAAATATTTACCTATACTATATTCTATTTTCAGATATAAGTAATATAGTTATATTAAACTGTTTTAGGGTTTAGAAAAAAGGCTAAAACTGGAATATTATAATGTCACCACGTCCGCCTGTTCGACTGTACATATGTCACATCCATTTTATCATTTCATTCGAAGACTATATTAATAATCTCATGTGAATCGCTAAAACGTACTGTAAATTTACAAAAAAATAAAAAAAATGTGGGGTGAATTATAACGTGCTTTCCCGTGGGAATAAGGTAATCTGCAGCGGTAAAAAGTAGCCCATGTCACTCTCCAGCCCTCCAACTATCTCCACACAAAAAACACGCCAATCCGTTACTGCCTTTCGACGTTAAAGATAGACAAACAAACACACTTTCACATTTATAATATTAATATGGATGTAATCCATACTAACCGTTAAAACGTACCTAGGGAGTAGGGACGAACCCAAGCAAAGCGAAGGTGAGCCGCTAGTATATTATAACTATAAACTACAGAGAAATACATAGACTACTCTCAGACACCCAAGAGAAACGAGCGTAAGTCTCTTGTATAATACATATTTTTAAAGAGAAATATAAAAAATATGAATTATGATTATTGAGAGCTAAGAGAGAGTAATAATAATAACTGAAAATAAAAAGCGACACCTTTTATGCTTGACTAAAACACTCGTATATATTAGTATGCAAATGAGTGGGGAAAAAATGATCAAAAATATGTATATTTGAAAATGTATCTAAAATGTTCTGATTGGCGTTTCAATTAGTGAAACTTTCGGATATCGTTGACTGGGTAGCATCGATTGACTGGTAACAGTACTGTATGTGTCGTTTATCTCACAACAATCGTGTCTGGTTCGTTTTTATCTCCAGCAAAATAACGTACTAAATTAACGAAACCGTTGAATGAAAACATTGAAATATCAACAGCTTCAATAAGTTGCTGAAATGAAAAAAAATATGGACTTAATTGATAATAAACTTTTTCTTTTCCATAGCATTGAATTTTATATTTTACGTTTGAATAGTGTCGACGTAATGTGAGAGGAAAATAAAAGCATAATAAATGCTGTGTACTTAACACAAAGGCTGGCCATTTTAAGCCGTCATGAGAGAAACTTCTCATTTAATATGGACTTAAACAACATATTTTGCGTTTATCTCGCATTGGAGTTCAAAAATTAAATAAGAACAACGTATGTTTATTACAATGTATGTTAAATCTATACATATAATAAAATTGTAACTAAGCTGAATCTGTACATTAAATATTTTTTGAAAAATCTTATTGAAATAAACATTATTATCGATACAGAGGCCGAATCTATAGTTTTTAGAATTTTTGTCTGTCTGTCTGTCTGCCTGTTCCGCATCACAGAAAAACCACAGCAGGGATTTTGATGAAATTTAGTATGGTGATAGCTGGTTATCCGGGTCAACATATAGGATACTTTATACAGCGGGAAAATGTCTCATTCTGAGAAAAAATACAAAAACTGCAATGTAAGAGTATATTAATATGTAAAACCTAAGAATTTCGTTTTTGGTCATCTGAACGCGGGCGGAGCCGCGGGCAATGCTAGTATTAAATAAGTATCTAATAATAATATAAAAAATTCACAGATCTCGTGTCTGCCACGACCTTAGAGTACATTGAAAATGAATCTGCCAAGTGAACTGAATTAAAGTAACATATTAATTACTAGTAGAACAACCGATTTGGCTCGCGTTCAGATTACAAAAAAGTATTTGGATGCATAAAGATATTAATTGTACATAATATAATAAAACTGTAGAGGTCGAATGTCTGTACATAGAAAAAAAATGCTAAAAACCGAATCTGTTTGTCTGTTTGTACGGGCTTATCTCCGAAACTGTTGGACCGATTTTAATGAAATTTTACATGGTGGTTATATCCCCGGTCAACATTTTAGATACTTTTCATCCCGGAAAATTTAAGAGTTTCCGTGGGATAGTTAAAAAAATATAGTAATTTATACAGCTTAGTACACAAAAACTATTGATTGGATTTTAATGAAACTGTATTAGTTCATACATCAGAATAACAAATAAGCTACTTTTCATCCCGGAAAAAATCGTAGTACTTTTTTCGCGAAACGCGCACAACCAAACAGACAAACAGATATTCAGAAAACAGACATACAGAAAACAGACAAATAGACAAAAAATTTCATAATCATTGTTTTGGGGTCTGTGGGACACAATACGTTACAGTCATTGTTTTGAAAAAATATTTGACGTATAAATTTCGCTTAGTTACTGTTTTATTATATGTATAAATATTAGTTAGTTATTAGTTTAAATGCATATTTATTTATTCACAAAGAATCACTTCGGTTCAAAAACAAAATCATGCTCCAAAACATTTATTCGATTCAAAATTGTAAAATTATTAGAATAAACTTTTTTGAGATTTT